TTCGCGCCGCTCTTGTTGCTGCTGCTCACGCTGCTGCTGCTGCAGGTCTTGCTGTGCTTGCTGCTGCTGCTGTTGCTGCTGCTACTGGTGCTGCTGCTGCTGCATTTTTAGTCACCTCCCCGCGTGTATGCTTCTTTGCATCCATTGGCCCTTTGTGTCTTCTTGGCAGCTGCAGACCCTAAACCCTAAACCCCAAACCCTAGCTGCGTGTTTTTGCTGCAGAATTCAAATTGTGGGAAACACTGCAGCCCCTCGCGTGGGCATCATCTCGTTCCTGATCAAATACGGAAATGACCTGCGCTCTGCAGCAGCAGCAGCAGCACCCACTGCAGCAGCAGCAGCAGCAGCACCCACTGCAGCAGCAGCAGCAGCAGCGGGCGGGCTATATCTGCATCCACACTTCGTGGTGCGTTTGCTGAGCGACTTGTTTGGGCTGCAGTGCCGCAGCGGCTGCTTATGTGCGGGGCCTTACACAGCATTTTGTGTGGGGCTTCCTGCTGCTGCTGTTGCTGCTGCTGAGGCGCTGCTGCTGCTGACGGGGCAGGAGCTGCTGCGCCCCGGGGTCGTCCGCGTCAGCGTCTCTCTCGCGCTGCAGCAGCAGCAGCTGCAGCAGCTGCTGCTCGCAGTCCTCTGGGTAGCAACACACGGCTACAAGCTGCTGCCAGCCTACGCTGTGGATGCGGAGACTGGGTGCGTCTTTGCATGCAGTCTATTTGATGGACAGGGCAGAAGAAAGAGAAGAAGGGGGAAGCCCCAACCTGCCCGCCATTTGCCGTGCTGCTCTCGCGCTGCAGCTGCTGCAGCAGCTGCCGCTGCAGCAGCTACGAGACAGGGAGGCTCAAGCAGCAAGAGCCCTCCTTAGGGTTTGGGGGGCCCATCCCAGGTAGGCTGCTGCTGCTGCTGCTGCTGCAGCTCTTGCTGCTGTTGCTGCTGCTGTCTCTCTTGCTGCCTCCTTGCTGCTGCTGTTCGCGCCGCTCTTGTTGCTGCTGCTCACGCTGCTGCTGCTGCTGCTGCTGCACCAAGCGAGCAGCAGCAGGATGGCAGCGTCTTAAGGGCTATTGACTCTGTCTTCGAAGTCAGGCGCTACCCAGCGGAGCAGCCGCAGCAGTGTGTCTGCAAGTGCAGCAGCAGCAGCAGCAGCGCTTGCTGCAGCAACAGCAGCAGCCAGAATCCCAGCCACTGCAGCGCATGCGCTGCACTTCAAAAGGCCATCGAAATGTGTATGGCCTCGAGTGACCCCTGGACACCTTGCAGCAGCAGCAGCAGCAGTAGCAGCAGCAGCAGCAGTACCACCAGCAGCAACAGCAACACTGGCAGTACTCACGGAGTGGACTACTCGTATTCAGAGTTGCCGAAGCGCGAAAACAAACAGAAGGCCACAAAGCAGCAGCAGCAACAGCAGCAGCAGCAGCAGCGGCAGGAGCAGCAGCAGCAACAGCGCCAGCGACAGAAGCGGCAACCGCAGCACAAGGCGGCGAAGTCACAAAAAGCCTCAGAAAGTCCCGCAGCAGCAGCAGCAGCAGCAGAGAGCGCGCCAGCAGCACCCTCAACGTCACCAGCAGAAGCAGGAGCAGCATCTGCAGTAAGAGCAGCAGCAGCACAGGCCCCTGCCGCATCCTCAGCACCATCATCAGCAAGAGCAGCAGCCCCGGCAGCAGCAACAGGAACAGCAGCACCCGAAGCAGCAGCAGCCCCAGCAGCCGCAGCAGCCCCAGCAGCAACAGCAGCACCCAAAGCAGCAGCAGCCCCAGCAACCGTAGCAGCCCCAGCAGCAGCAGCAGCAGCACCCGAAGCAACAGCAGCCCCGGCCGCCGCAGCATCCCTAGCGGCAGCCCCCGCAGCAGCAGCAGCAGCAGCAGCAGCAGCAGCAGCGCCAGCAGCAGCAGCAGCAAGGGGCCTGGCGGGGCTAAAGATCCCGCGTTCGCTGCGGCGGTCTGTGGGGCAGGCGCTGCATGCGTTTAAAATGCTGCAGCAAGGAGATAGGGTTTTGGTGGGGCTTTCTGGAGGCAAAGACAGCCTCACGCTGCTGCTGCTGCTGCTGGAGCTGCAGCAAAGGGCCCCCATCAGCTTCCACGTTGCTGCTGCTACTGTGGACCCCCTCACCGCCAGCTTCAACCCCGCGCCCCTGGGGCCCTACCTCCGCAGCCTCGGTAAACCCTAGACCCTAAACCCTAAACCCTAAACCCTAATTCCTAAACCCTCGGCGAGGGAGCAGCGGGCGACCTGCTCGGGCCCCCGCTCACCTGCTGCGCCTGCAGCTGCTCCCCCTGGCTGCTGCACACTTCGCTGCTGCTGCTGCTGCTGCTGCTGCTGCTGCGCAGGGGTTGAGTGGTATCGGCTGCAGCTGCCCATTATGGAGCTGGCGAAGCGCTGCATGAAGAGACAGTCCATTTGCGCCTTCTGCTCCAGACTGCGCAGGGGACTGCTGTACTCTTGCATGCGCAAGGTCTGCTGCTGCTGCTGCTGCTGCTGCTGCTGCTGCAGATAATGCTGCTGCTGCAGATAATGCTGCTGCTGCAGAGGAGTGCTGCTGCTGCATATGATGACGCTGCTGCTGCTCGCAATGCTCCTGCTGCTGCTGCAGGCTATGGTGTGCTTGCAGATGCTGCTGAGCCCGGAGCCGTTGCTGCTGCTGCTGCTGTTGCTGCTGCCGTTGCTGCTGTCTGTTCGCTTGCGTATTTGCTGCTCTAGGAGTTTTTGTTTCTTTGTGTCTTTTTTCATTCTTTGTCTCCTTCCTGCGTCTTCCTTGCTGCCGCCTGTCGGCTCCTGCCTGAGGGTTCAGTGTTTAGGGTTTAGGGTTTAGGGTTTAGGGTTTGCGTGCAGCACGGGTATAACGTGCTGGCCCTGGGGCAGCACTTAGATGACCTCGCAGAGTCTTTCGTAATGTCTGTCTTCAACAACGGCAAACTAAACACCATGAAGGTAACTTTGCTAGGGTTTAGGGTTTAGGGTTTAGGGTTTTGGGTTTTGGGTTTTGGGAGTTCGGCTCAGGGTGTAGGGTCTACGGTGTATGATTTCGAGTTCCGGGTTCTCGGGCAAAGGGATAAGGGTTTAGGGTTTGGGGTCTAGATTTTAGAGTTTAGAGTTTAGGGTTTGGAGTTTCGATTCTAGGGTTTAGGGTTTAGGGTTTAGGGTTTTTGGCGGTGTCTCCCACCTGCGGCACACTCAGAAAAACGAATATAGTGACTGGGTTGCATTTGCTGCTGCTGCTGCGCCCCCGCTGCTGCCTCCCCTGCCGCTGCCACTCCTGCTGCTGCTGCTGCTGCTGCTGCTGCTGCTGCAGTGCCACTACAGGCCCGCGTGTGGGGCGCTGCGGGTAATTCGGCCTCTGGCCTTCACGCGGGAAATTTCGACGCAAAATTTCGCTGAGACAAATTTGCTGCCAGTAATAAATGAGAACTGCCCCGCCTGCTTCGCCCACCCCAAAGAGGCAAACCCTAAACCCTAAACCCTAAACCCTAAACCCTAAGCCCTAAGCTTTAGCCGTAGACCCTCGCTCCGCCTGGGCAGGGCCGCTCTTGGCTCAGAAGCAGGAAGCAGCAGCACTCAGCAGCCCTTCCCCTCGCTGCTAATGCCCTAAACCCTAAACCCTAAACCCTAGACAGCTGTGCGTTCTAGCCTAAACCCTAGCGGAAAACCTAGCCAAACGTCAAACTTCTAAACCCTAAACCTTAAATCGCAAACCCTCAGTCTGCTGGCGGCTCTCCAGGCCACCCGAAACGGTGCTCCCGAGGTGTGACACCTAGGGTTTAGGGTTTAGGGTTTAGGGTTTAGGTTTAGGGTTTGTGAGCAGAGACACCGCGTGAAGCTTCTGCTGAGCGAACAGGAAAAGGAAATCCCAAACCTCTTCAGCAACATCCAAAACGTCAGTTGTTGCCGCTGCTGTTGCTGCTGCTGCTGCTGCAGCAACAGCTTCTACTGCTGCCACTTCAGGTGTTCGTGTCTCTACGGATGCTGCTACTGCAGCAGCAGCAACTGCTGCTGCTGCTGCTGCTTTACGGCTGCTGCGAAACTGCCAAACCCTTCCCTGAAGATGCTGCCTTTTTGCTTCTGCTGCTGCTGCTGCTGCTACAGGCTTTGCTGCCTTTAATGGCCGTCGACCCAATTGCTCGTGGAATTTCAACCAGCGACCAGCAGGAGCAGCAGCAAGAGGAGCAGCAGCAGCAGCAGCAGCAGGGTGAAGGCGACGATGATGACTCCTTACCCCCCGAGGTTGCAGCTCTGCTGCAGGAAGTCCCCCGTTGCTTCTCTGCCGCAGATGCTGCTAATGCTGCTGCTGCTGCTGCTGCTGCTGCTGAGGAGGAAGATGAGGAAGCGATGCTTGCGCTGACAGCCTGCGGAGTTGAGGGCTGCCCCAGATCTTAGGGTTTAGGGTTTAGGGTTTAGGGTTTGGAGCTTGATTTGGGGGGCTTTTTGCGTCTGGAGAGCTCGAGCAGCCGCTGCAGCTGCTGCTGCTCCTGCTGCAGCACGGAGTAAGATGTTTGCTGCAGCTTCTCAGGTGACCCCAAGGGCACCCACTTCCGGAAGACAGACGGGGGCCACCGCCAGTGCTGCAGCAGCAGCAGCAGCAGCAGCAGCAGCAGCGTCGGCAACAGCAGCAGCTGCTGCTGGAACAGCAGTAAAAGCAGCAGCTGAGGCTGAGGCTTTTTAAACCTGCGCTCATAGGCGTAGTGAATTTCCTGCTGCAGCGGCTGCAGTTGCAGCAGCAGCAGCAGCAGCAGCAGCAGCAGCAGCTCTCACCTGGTAGATATCCTCCGAGTCGCAGGGCAGCAGCAGCAGCAGCAGGCCTTTGAGGTGTATGGACAGACAGCGCTGGCTCGCTGTGTGCTGCAGCAGCAGCCTTTCAGTGTACGTCCACCTGAGCAAACCATCTTTTGGGCCTTCAAGCTCTTGCCCAAGGGTCTAGGGTTTAGGGTTTAGGGTTTAGCGTTTAGGGTTTAGGGTTGAGGGTTTACCACTGATCAGGGTCTTTGGGGTCACAAGGAACAGCCAGCAGCTGGCTGTTGAGGCAGTTGTCTACATTAGCTGCATGTACACCGCGAATCTGCAAAAGCTGCTGCTGCTGCTGCTGCAGCTGCTGCTGCTGTTGCTGCAGCTGCTGCTGCTGCTGCTGCAGCAAGGCAGCAAATAAGGCGTGGTCTGCTGCGCAGTCTGTCGTGACTGTTAGGGTTTGCTGCAGCGATTTGCTGTCGCTCCAAGAGAGGCAAAGGGGGGGCCATCTGGGCCCTCTGAGCCACTTAATGTTGCCTATCCGCAAACCCTAAACCCTAAACCCTAAACCCTAAGCCCTCGCAGCTCCGAACTCATGAAGCCCCTCCACCCTACACCCTCGTTTAGAGTTTAGGGTTTACTGCTGCACTCACCTAGAAGGGGGATAATGTCCTCTAGCGGTGCTGCAGGGAGCCCGGGAACAAGTCCGGTTGCTGCTGCTGCTGCTGCTGCTGCTGCTGCTTTATTTCTGCTGCACGTTCTCACAAATTCTGCTGCTGCTGCTGTTGCCTTGGATTGGTCTGTTAGGCCTATTGCCGCGTGTTCTGCAGCTGTTGCTGCATCAGCAGCAGCTCCTGCTGCAGAATTCGCTGCTGCTACTTCAGTTGCTGTTGTTGCTGCTGCTGCTGCTGCTGCTAGGCGGCTGGGCAGGGGACTTGGGCTGCCCCCCAAAAAGATATTCGGCTCCCCCAAGGCAATCCTAAAGAGCCCCAAAAATAAATAAATAAATAAATAAATAAATAAATAAATAAATAAATAATAATTAATTAATTAATATTTTTATTCGCCAAAAAGATAAATAAATATTTAAGCTAAGGGCCGCGAAGACAACAGAGAAAAAGCAGCAGCAGCCAGCATGGCATCTCCTAGGAAATGGCCCTAAACCCTAAACCCTAAATCCTAAACCCTGAACCCTAAACCCTCAAACTGACCAAGGCAGCATTGCAGCGTCTCCCAGCCAGGCCTCAGCAACCCTCAGTTTGCTCTGCAGCAGCAGCCGCTCCTCTTCCTGCACCCCGCAGACGCTAAACCCTAAACCCTAGCCCGTAAACCCTAAACCTTAAACCCTAGTCAGCAAACGCTAGAACCAAGCTCTAGACCCTAAACCCTAAACCCTAGGAACAAAAAAGGCGGCAGCGGCGCTGTTCTTCCCAGCAGCCGCAAGAAGGCCTGCGGCGGGCAACTTCTAGGGTTTAGGGTTTAGGGTTTAGGGTTTACTCTTCTGCTGCGGGGAGGGCTGGGGTCTGCGGTGTATATACAGCTGCAGGGGGCGCATGCAACAGCAACCCCACAGGCAGCAGCAAAAAGAGAAAGTTCAAGAGACACCCCAGCTCTGTGCTGCAGCAGTGGGTCCGGGGAAGCAGCAGCAAGCAGCAAGGCTTTTGCTGCCGCAAAGGCTGCTCCCGGCAGCGCAGCAGAGGCCACTGCTGCTGCTGCTGTTCCTTCTGCTCCGCCTGCTGCTGCTGCTGCTGCTGTTGCTGCTGCTGCATTTCGGGAACCTACGGCCCGCAGGTCTAGCGCCCAATTCAGCTCAGCTGCAGCAGCAAGGCGCATGCAAGAGCAGCTCCGAGACAAATGCGGCGGTAGCAGCAGCAGCGGCAGCAGCAGCAGCAGCAGCAGCAGCAGCGCATAAGATCTTCTTCCGCTAAACACTTTCTGGGCGTACCCTTGTGACAACGGGGGCCCCCTGGGGGCCCCCAGAGGGTCCCCGTTATCTTTGCTTCTGCAGGAAATATGATGGCTTGCTGCTGCTGCTGCTGTTGCTGCTGCAGCAGCAGCAGCAGCGGCTGCAGCCAGTGGGGAGAGACCCGCGCCTCAGGAGACAGCACAACGACTGCAGCAGCAGCCGCTGCCCGAGCAGCAGCAAGCACTGCAGCAGCATAAGCTGCATTCAAACAAAAGACTGCAGACCCTAAACCCTAATATCTAGACCCTAATCTCTAAACCCTAATCTCTAAACCCTACGCTGCAGCGGCTCAGGCTCGTTGCTCCTTTTCGGGCATTTTCTGCCGTTCGCTTTTCATGCAACAGAAGATTTAGGGTTTAGGGTTTAGGGTTTAGGGTTAGGGTCTGACTCTTTTGAATCTCGGGTAGCACTCTGACTTTAGGGGTTTGCTGCAGCAACGGCAGCAGCGGCCCCACGGGGCCCCCATTCATAAGTATGTAGTGTTGCTGCTGCTGCGGCTGCTGCTGCTGCTGCTGCTGGTAGGGAGCCAGCAGCACCTCCTGCAGCAACTGCTGCGGAGTGTGCTGCAGCAGGTGCTGCAGCAGGTGCTGCAGCAGCAGCAGATCTCTGTCGCTCACAGCCACAATGATGGTGGCGGGGGCGAGGGTTTGGGAGGCCTCAAGGACGGTCCTGCGCAGCAGCCAAACCCTAAACCCTAAACCCTAAACC